AACAAAACTTTGTGTCTGAGACGTTTTTGCGTCTTTTTTAATTGTTTGACATTAGAGTGCATAGCCACCGTGATATTTAATGTCAAACGTATTTACTTGTATTAATTCTGAATTTTGTAGATTTTTGTTTAAACGTCGGCCAAAAAGCTTAATACAAATCTTGTGCGTTAACCATTTTACAGTGCTCAATTATTAAAGCACTCCGCTGCGCGTCGTGCTTCAAATTCATTTCGCACTGTAAAATGTAAGTTACCGCACACGAATGTAAATAACTATTATAGCACGCCAGGGTTGTTACTGGAAATTCCTTTTTAATTATTTCATCTTTGTATGTTTTAAATTTGTTGTCAACTACTAATGTGTTTTCTACTAGTTGTTTTTCAAATTTTTTTAAATTCTTATTGCACTGATGATGGGTTTTCACCCGAAACTATAATAGTTTGTAATCAACTGTGATCAAATTTTAAGTGGGTTTTGACTTTATCATCTCCAAATTTATCAAATTTTACCCACATTATATATGGACTTTCAAAGACAAAAAAAAACAGCGTAGCAACAATAAAAGTGCAAAAAGTGAAATAGAGAACTGAATAATTATTGTATTAACTTGTTTCTGATCTCGATTTATCTTCAAGTGAATGTAAAAAATTGCTTTCTTCTCTAAATAATTTCGCAAATATTTACAAAATTTAATTATATTAAACTCGAGGTAAGCACGCTTTGTCTTGTAAATTTTGTTAATGATGCCTATAAACTGAAGAAACATGTGCATAACTTTAAACATAATAAATTTAATAATAAGTTGGCTATAAAAGCTTGAGATTTTAAAGCTTTGACAACTTTTTCTCAAAATTTTCGCTAAGCGCACAATTGAATTTAAAAAAAAATGTAATTAAAATTAGTTGTTAAAAATAGAAAATTGTGGCTACTTTTTGCACGCACATTTTCCTGATTAGCAAGTTCTTTGTTGATTTATTTTCTACTCTGCATGCAGAAACAGTCTCATTATCTGCAGAGCTTTAATGACCATTAATGACCATTATAAAACTCAAACAAGTATTGACACAGCTCGACATAAACCAATCCAGCTTTATCAAGAAATTGAACAATTTAATATTCCCAGAAGCACTCGGTGTTGTTATGCCAAGTCTGGTCCGGAATAAGATTTAATCGTAAAATGGTGGCTCTTGTGCAGATCTCTCTAAGTGCCTTTGCTTGCCTGACTTCAATCAACTCCAGCACTCGGATTTATACCATTCTCAAGCTTTTCTCGTTTAAAAGCTTCAAAAAAATCAACACACTTTTTACAGATTAGGTATCGTTAACGACAGACAGGTTGCAGAGGGCTCATTACCATGTCAGCCATATGCAAAAACAAGATGCAATCATGCAGGAATCTGGAACACCTTTCGATAATAAAACCAGTGCAGCTGCATGATGGGGGACAGGTGGGGCGAGCGATTTTGCGATTTTTGGTCATGTTATATTCATATTAAATCTCTTTATGCATAACGCTGACATAAGAGCTCTAGGGTCGGTGATATACTTTTATTACTTCTTCCTATAGTTCTAAATGAAAGCACTAAATTTAATTCCGGCGAGAGGATCAGATCAAGAAAGTTTTCCTCCCATATAATAAAAAATCAATCTACTGAATGGAAATATTTCCATACGCAATCCCAGAAAAACAATTTCAATAAGCGCATATGTGAGTCGTAAAAATGATTCATCTAAAACAATGTCTGGCTGAATTTTTCGATCGAAAAAAATTGTCCGCTTTAGAGGGGAGTTTGCAAAGTTCAATTTCCGTTTGCAGCGCCCCAGCGGTCGAAAGCTTTCTCGTGTTAGCTCTCACTTAACAATAAAACTGGTCTGACAGATCCTATGTTATTTATATCGTCACCTCTGGACTACAAAGCCAGTATTTCATGCCTAAAATCAAATGGAGCGTAATTGTACGCAACTATTATGAAGGAAAAATTTTATTAATTTATTCCAGTTTGTAATTTAGCCCGAAAAAGGGTAAAACGGGTAAATTAAATTTGTATTTGAATTATTAAATTTAGACATTAATGTTATAAAGTTTTTACAGCAGCGAAATTAAGTTAATTTGGTTTTGTTCCTTTGCAACCATTGGCGTGAAAGAATCACGAAATGTCGTGATATAAAAGGGCCGTCCCTTTGCTTTAGGTATTATCAGGGTCGGCTTATAATTGATATTTGTGGTGAAGGTCCCCAACGAAATGAAATAGTTCCGGTTCAGTTGGTCTTTATCTCTGCTAAGATGTCTCCATAAACTCTGATTACTTCCAAAGTCAACGCCGGAAACAATGATAGGAAAAGTTTGAGCTTTCACCCGGCGTCATATTTTTTTAAGACGTTTTCCATCCAATTTAAACTTTCCCACTTTTATAATTATGTTTAATTTCAGGCGTTTTTTCTTCGGGACGTTGAATCCAATGCTTCAAGCTGTTCGGCGACGTGGAAAGAGTTCTTCATCCCTTCGAGTTGTCTAGCAGGTGATGTAAAAATAAATTATTAGAAACGTGACAAAACTCATGCCAAACGCCCTCAAGCTCCGCCTTGAGATTTATTTTCAACGTGACTTTCACAAATCCGGAAAGATTAAAAGTTTCATTGGCGAAAATTTCTTCCATTTGACACGCGATAAGTTGCAGGAAAATAGATTTTGGTAGATTAGTTTTGTCAAAAATATGAATAGTTTCAGGACGTAGAGGCTAACAAGAACGACTTTGTTGGAATCACTTTTTATTGACTTTCTATACCGGATGATGTATTTATTTGAGTAAACTGTTCGAAGGGAACGCACATTAACCGACTTGTTTTTTACAGACTCTCGAGAGTGTTTCCTGGGTCGAGTCTGGCAACTTTTCACCAAGGTATACATCGTTCTCTAAATGAAAACAATTTCTAACATTTATTTTAACTTAGCTTTTCATTTATCAAAGCAAATCTGAAACTAGAACAATTAAAACAGTTTCGATTATTGTTTCTGCTATTCAACATACATACATATTTTTTCAATTATTTTATAAAAACATAATTTGCACACTAACAAAATGTAATGATATTTGTCATTTTACATTTGTTAGATTTTTTTTAATGTTTTTGTTTAATGTTTATTTCGCGTTTTGTTACATCTGCTCTAAATTGGAACCTAATCACATGATTAAAATTGAGCCATATTCATCAGTGATGTCACATATTAGGTAACTCTTCAGATTCTGAATGTTTTTTAGAGAAAAATATACGAAGTGAACAAAAAGTTTGAAATCAACGATTTTTTAATCATTTGCTTTCAGAAATTAATAATTAATAAAAATTGGTCATTGTAAAAACGACATTTTGTTGAGTTTTTGAATTATCCAAGTCAAAATTGCAACTTAAGTAGGTATATAATTTTTTTTCGATACAAATTAATTAAAATGTATATTTTATAGTGGGTAGGTGTTTTATAAAAATAAAAATTTTAAGAGGGAAAAAAAATTTTCAAAACTTTTATTTTGAGAAACGTCTACATTTTTATAGTAGGGAATTCATTATTTATCAAGTAATTAAAAAAATAATAAACTGTTTAAGCGAAAGACGTTTCTCTACATCATGTGTTTCGTTTTTATTGTTACAAATTTAAACAGGTGATAAAATATTCAATTTTGAGAAAAAAATGTAAATACTACCCATGTAAGGAAGCTTTTAAGCTTTTCTCAATATTTCAGAGACCATTTGAAGTAAAATTATAAACTTTGGTACAGCTGATAACCTTTATACACCTAAACGCATTCAAAGAAAACATTAAAGATCTAGTTTCTTGCCACTTTCAGCAACAAAATCCTACATTTCATTGTTTCTCACAAAAAAAGGTTTTTTGCGATATTTCAACAGAACTTACGGTTTTTGAGTAAAATCAATTTATAATTTATGTTACAGAGCATAAACAACATTAAAATGCCTCTTTAGTTTAAGACGTCTAAAGATTAAAAATTTTGATATTTGATTTTTTAAATTTATTTAGGTAGGTAGGTATATAAAGTTGTATCAAAATTTGTAATTTTTTTATAATGGTTTCTAAAATATTGGAAAAAAATATTAAAGGCTTTTTCAGGAGGTGTAGGTAGCTCTTTACATGGTATTTTTCGATACTATTCATAGGAAACTTTTGTCTTAAAATTTAATTTTCTATCATCTGTTTAAATTTGTAACAATAGAAACGGAACGCTCTGTTTATCTTGTAGGTAAGTATATACCTAGGTGACACTTTTAGAAATTAATTAACCATATAGAAATCTACAGATAAATAGTTTACTTGAATTAAATGTGAACTGAATTATGTTAAGTAGTAAACAGTGAGTTATCTTAATAATATGCAAATTTTGCTAATGTGGGAATTAAAATACCCACCTGTATAAATTACAGTTAAATTGTTTCAGATTTGTTTTGAATTATTTACTAAGGGTAACAACGCTGTTTTTCTCGATTTTCAATATTTTACTTTTTTTGTATGATAAACTTATCAAAAATCCCATCACAAGTCGAATTTTATCTCGTCGTGTGCAATCTGTCCGGAGCTTTGGAACATTTCCATACAAGCTGATGGCGGCCAACGTAGCGCAACGAATGGGGCTCCATCCAATATGTAGTTAGTGTTAGCACACACCCCGGCAGGGGGGCGGAGAGATGCGCCATATCACTCGCTGGCCTTCTGCCAACATCACAGAAAAGCAAAATTACCTGATCAATCGGACTGAACATGAAATAAAAACCTAATTCACTCAATGCCAATCATGGACGAGTTTATTGCAGGAAAAGCTCAACAAAAACAACAAAAAAATATCGCGGGGGCGGCGAACAAAAAAAAATCGCGACATATTTAAAACAACTAATAAGAATTTTTGTTTATTGTTAGTCATTTTAGATGATGAAGTTTATTTAATTCGTGGAAAAAATTATTTTTTTTGTATTATTCCCATGGCTCATTTTCCTGCAAACATAAAATGCTAAAAGCTTCTAGCACTTGAAAACTTTCCTTTTCTTTGAGATGATTCTTGCAGCCCCTCAATGTAGCCATCAAGACCCTAATCTTGTTTGACACTGACAAGTTAATGGAAGACCACATTTATGATATCAATGTAGATTAGGACTAAGTACTGACAGAAATTATGATAAAAAGTGAAAAATGTGTAAAGTTTTTTACTATCTGAATTCTAAGGGTTGTTTACTACCAAAGGTGAACAAAAACAAAAAATTTTTAGTTAGAAAACATTTTATTTTTCAAGTAATTACGTCATCTATCAAAAACAAATTTTCTTATAGTATTTATCTTGATCTCTGCATTCCAACGAAATTCTGAAACAAAAAAAAATAATTTAATTTTTTTAAATAACTCTTTTTTTCACTCAAAATCCTCCCACGTTGTAAATTAAATAAATTACGTAATTCGGTAGTATCATTGTGATTTTATCATGTTAAAGTGACAGCTCTTCAATAAAACATCCCCTATATACCTGAACTTTTATGACTTCTGCCCGTGTCCAATTTTAACGGCTTAACAAGTGTCGTTTTTATTGTTGATGTCTATGAAACGCATTTATATCGACAACAAAACCAATCTATTGACAATATTTATAAAATTTACTTTTTAATGCTTCACAGGCAAAATATGAAAACATCAGGTAAAGCAATTCACGTTCAGGATAAAAGTCTTTGCGAAAAAACTGCTCGATCCGCGATTTTGATACACTCTCATTCGTCGGGAACAAATAAGGGGCTTAAAATTTTCAGAATAAAATCGTCGTAAAAAATAGTTTGAATATATTCAAGCCGAGGCGGAATTTTCACGAGTCTAATAAGAAAAGCGTGTGGAGCAATCACCGAAATTGGAGCGGCAGTAAAAGAGATATTTTCACACCGTACGTCGCGGATTGAGAACACCATTTCCAAATTGTTTTCGCTACTTGCCGAAAAATATAATTAAAACTCGCTTTTTTCTCAATGGCACGAATGACGGTAGTCTTGGTATATGTAAATATTCCTTTTAAATTGTTTTTTCAGTTGTTAAATAAATTTTTATAAGTTTACGGTTACTACTAATGTGGCACGTAGGTAGGTAGATATGTTATAGATACCTATCTTACGAAGATATTAAACAACGATTTTTTACCTGAGACACCTTTTATAATTTTAAAAATAACCATTGTTATGGTCTGTCCTATTGATCAAAAATGATTTAGTTCTGGTTAATTTAGTTCTGGTAAATAACGTTTGAGAAATATGAGACGACTGAGTTTTTAGTAAAAAGATACTTAATGTACCTGTAGAGATTTTTTGTGAATAGGTGTTGCAAGTGTTGGAATTTGGTGGATTCTAATAAGAATTTAGTGTGACTCAATCACCGAAATTGGAGCGTCCAAAGTATAGAGGCTAAACGTATGTCTTGGATCATGTCGCGTTTATTGTAGCGGCTAGCCGCTAGATCGCACGCGCGTTCCCGAACAGAGCCGACTGAGTTTTACGCGAGATACTCAAAAGACTTCAGTATGTGTTTGCAAGCTGTGAGTTGCTGTCACTTGTCGTGCTCATGTCGACTCGCGATCTCCTCGCGAACTTGTAATTTATAATAAAATTGATCAATCTGATGATATAAACCGAGTCGAGGTTCAGAGTAGTACTATAAAAGGTCTAAGGGTCCGAAGAATCTTCTGAAAAGAAAAGTTACGAGCCGCAATAAATTAATTTCGGGGTCGTAAAAGCGGTTTTTGTATAGGCTAGTGTTGATTTATGTTCGCACCTGTGATGGGAGTCCTCGAGTGAGGCTTTGATCTGATCTGGTTGGGTTTTTTTTATAATTTTTCCGGTGGTGTCCTATGCTGTGATCCCGCGCCATCATCCTCACCATCGCGGACCCCGTGGCGTGCGCGCCCACCCTGTACGACCATGTGCATCCCCCCGGCTCCTCCCCAGCCACCGGAGCGGGTTCTTCCGCCGGGGTGACGTGGTGGTCGATGATGAACGGCGGCATCTACGAGGAGAG